ATACAATTATTGAAACTACTAAACCAGATGTAACATGCATCACTGAATCCAAACTGGATCCCTCCGTAGACGATGTAACATTAGAAATTTTAGGGTAAATGGAAATGGAGGGGGTGGGGGGTAACGATATGAACAAGGAAACGAATTATTATAGAGGAATTAGAGATTAATCAAGACCCTACAGTAGAACTCAAGGCAATGGAGGTAGAAACAAACATATTAATAACCACAGTGTACATGCCACCTCAACGGTGTGGTTACAGGAAAATTACCAAAAACTAATTCAAGAAACGTTAAGAGCCTGGAAGAAGTGCTATAACTTCCGGAAACTAATGAAAAAAAACTTGTAACGGGAGATTTTAATAGCAAAATTCACTGAGAAAGTTTCGATCCCAGAGTTCAGCCAGATTCGTGAGATGCAAAGTTACTAGATGTCAGAAATCAATTTTGCCTTTTCCAAAATGTAACCGATCATACCAGGACAAGAAAGCTAGATAGACCGTCTATACTTGACCTAATATTTATAAAGCATAAAGATGACATTAAGTATATGGAGTACTGTCCTCCTCTATGAAAACAGTGACCATGCAGTGAAAACCTCCTCATATGTAAGGAAAGAAAAGGAAAATACAATGACAGGAGAGGTGTTTATAGCAACCTTTGAGATTTCTTTGACGGCACAAGCTGGGAGAAACTCCTGGACGAAGAGAACCTTGATATGCAATATGCAAAGTCTATAAAAAAAGTTAAAAGAATTGTATCAAGATTCAAAGTTGAAGCAAGATATGCCAAAAATGGAGTAATAATAAAAGTAAGGAAATGAGAGAAAACAGGAACAGAAGACACAGATCTCAGGCAGCGTATGAAAGGTATAAAGAAGGAAGAAATGAGAACACCCAAACCATGAGAGAGGCGAAATTAGACTTTGAAAAGGATATAATCAATAAATGTACACACCAACAAAAGCTTTTCTTTAAGTACATAAATAGCAAGACTAAAAGTGGAGATTAAATTAGCGCCATCAAAAAACAATAACATCGTTTCTAATAAGGAGGAAAAAAAGTAGGAAATTCAGTGAATGTTTGTTCAGGACCTATAGTTTGAAATGGCAATTAACCGTACAAACGTAACTCATAATATCGAAATTATCACACTCAAAAAGAATATTACAAAGGACTTGCTTAACCTAACCAAAGGTCTAGACAAGACTACAGCAGAGGGACCAGGGAAGTTCTGAGGATCTGGGAGAATGTGCCGTGGAACTATGTACTCCGTTATTGTTAAAATTCCAATATTCATTTAGACAACATTACAATTTATACCCACTTAATTATAGACCAGTTTCGTTAACTAGTGCAGTATGCAAGCTGTCAGAAAAGATAATCAGGAAACAGTGGGTTAAAGTGCTTTAAAAACGCGATCAAATAAACAATTTGATTTTAGGGAGGGATAGTCATGTGTAACAAATCTCCTCTGTTTTGGTGACAGATTCTGAAATATTACAAGAACGAGACGGATGGGTGGATTGCGTATACTTGGACTTGAAAGAACATTTGATAAGGTGTCTCATAGAAGACTGTTATATAAATTATAACACCTAGCTGGACTGAAAAGCAAACTCCTCGAATGGATGAAAGACTTCCCTCATGAAAGACAGGGGAAAACCGTAATTAAAGGGAAGCACTCTACATGCCGACGAGTAACAAGCAGAGTACCCTAAGGATCGGTCTTGGTGCTGATTATGTTTACTATTTCCATCAACGATTTAGGGTCCAACATAAGCAACAGGTAGTTATCAGAAGACGACGCGAAATTACAAAATAAAGGATGGTAGACAACGTTTCATGCCAAGGCCTCCAAAGTGAACTTATGAGTGTGAAGTTGTACTTGGAAAATGGGCTGCAACACCAATAAGTGCCATGTACTCGGAGAAAGTAAAAACCAATATACCAATACAAATTAGGGGACGCAATATTAAACCCAGCAGATAAGAAAAATACCATGGAATAATCATAAACATCCGCCTAAGCCCAAATAATCGTATAAATGAATGGGTCCATAAGATGCTAGGGATGATTACCAACATGAAGAGGGCCTTCTTGTATGCGGACGAAGATATGGTAAAGAGGACCATTACAGCCATCATAATACCTGTCTAGAGTGCTGTGCGGTTGTATGGAGTAAAAAAGAAAGAAAGAAAAAGAAAAAAAATATATATGTATATATATATGTATATGTATATATATATATATATATATATATATATATATATATATATATATATATATATATATATATATAGAGAGAGAGAGAGAGAGAGAGAGAGAGAGAGAGAGAGAGAGAGAGGGGGAGAGAGAGAGAGAGAGAGAGAGAGAGAGAGAGAGAGAGAGAGAGAGAGAGAGAGGAGAGAGAGAGAAAGAGAAATTGGAAAGAATTTAAAGAGCAGCCCCAAGATGGGCACCTACTCTAAGAATTATGATGCTACGAAAATAGACTACAA